TCCCTGTTTTACGGTACATCTTGGCCAAATCTCTGACATACTTGATCAATAAATAGTGATCATTCACTGAAGTAAGGCATATATTGCCTTGTGTCAGTTATTGCTTTATTAGAACACTTAACAGCACAAAAGCAGGGGAAAACACACAAGTTACTTCCACACAGTGATTATCTGCAGCTATTATTGCTGCTGTGACTGCATGTCAGGTTTTCCTGTACTTTCCTTTCCCTAGCACCCTGTGACTGCCATCTCCCCCCTCCCCCCAGGCGATATCTCCACAAAGAAAAAGGGCTAGAGACTTTTTTTCATGAAAGCTGGGAATTTGGAGGAGATAGATCATGGCAATAGATCATTATAGCATTATTGTGCTGTAGCAGTCACCAATTCAGAAAATCCTGGGGGAGGGGGAACAAGAAAAATGATGGAAATGCAGTTGGGTCCTTGAAAAATAGGGTTGCCCCAGGGGCAATGCTCCCTCTAAGCTGTGGAGCCCTGTGAGCAAAAATCCTACTTTGTGAGCTCCTGGCATTAAAGTTGTGAGTGAGCAATTTGGCTACTGCGTAAATTAGTTTGCTCTGGAGCCCTCCTTCCTGAGTGAAGACAAAAATCTGTGAGCCGGAGGCTAAAAGATTGTGAGCTAGCTCACACCAACTCAGCTTAAAGGGAACGCTGCCCAGGGGTCCCCCACTGCCAAGTCCTGTTCCCCAGCCACTGGTCAGCTGGCCACGGAGGACTTACCAGTAGAAAGAGGAAGGCCAAGGTCACATTGCCAGCATCACACACGAAATGACATAATCATGCCACATCTGGGTAATGTTCCAGTATTTGGGCAAAACCTATACGGTTTTTACCATAGAATTTTTACCCAAATACCAGAGTGACACAGTGACATTGCAGTGTGGTGCGTCACTTCCCATGCAACACTGGCAATGTGACCTGGGCCTTCCTCTTTCTCCTGTATACCTTCCCATCCACATGGCATGAAAAGGCATTTTGACTGTGATCTCTTCCAAAAGATCATATCAAATCAGGGAAAAAACTGAAAAGTTAGTAACTAGGGGATGTTGTATGGATGCTCCACCCCTTACCCCAATCCTTTTTCTAGCTTGGATGCCAAGCTAGATCAAATAAAGGCAAAAGATTCCCCATTGCTTCTCACTTGCTTTTGAGCGTTCTTCCCAACCATTGGATACACTACCGTTAAGTCACAGACTATTCACAAATATTTGAGCTGCTAAAGCCTAGCAGTAGATTGTGACTATGTGTAGGTATCATAGACTTTTAAAACTTAAGCATCTTTTTAGGTTCATCTGCTTTGTGGTGTAGTATCTAAACCAAAAACCAAATGAATTTGCTGAAATGCATTCACTTCTACCACTGGTTTCTCTTTAGGCTTTTGACCAAGTGGAATACAGTGACCCAGGAGCTTCAAGCAGCCATGAAGAAAGTCTTCTTTATGTCTGCTGTAGAGGAATGGATGGAAGAGAATATCCAACCCAGCCTACAGAGACTTCAAGACACAGTAGATGACTTGAACAGAGCAATACAGGCATTAACATAGCAGTCTTTCAAACTGCTGTACAGAGATTCAGGATGGTACAACTGATATTCTGCAGCTAAAAAATAATGTTGTGTAAACATCAGAAATTTGATGAGTTAATTGCACTAACAGGCTTGGAATTAATTTTAAAATGAATTTTTGAAGGGTGTATACCAGTATACAAAAGAGACAGCAGATTTAAAAACTTCACGGTGGTTATGGTTGATCATAAATTCCAAATTTAAGACTGCTGCACAGACACTTTATCTTCTAAATAAAATCTAAAATGTTGCACAGTCCCCTTATTAATATGATTTGAGTGTCTTCTGTGACAGTTGTGAAGCCCCATGGCAATAACAGCTAGGAAAGCAGACCAGTCAATTGGGTCTAAGAGGAAAGCTGCAGTAAATTCCAAAACAAATCAGATGGAAAATCCCTGGAGATTATCTTGAAAAACCTGAGCAAAAATTTACTGGGAAACAAGACAGATCCTTTGGATTTGTTGGATCACACTTTACATGCTGAATATTGTTGACCAGTTACTTAATATAGTATCTCAAAACCTCAACATACAGCTATTCTAATAGGACTTAAGGAGGTGCTCAGCTTTTTTATAACTTCACTACATAGTACATTTCATAAATCTACATCCCAGGTCATTTGTTTTAGAGAACAACAAGTAGGGACCTGCAAGAAACTTGTGGGAGCAGCTATCCCATCCCCCCCCCTTTCTTCCCCTAGAATCTTAGAGTTGGAAGAGACCTCCAGGGTCATCTAGTCCAATCCCCTGCACAATGCAGGAAATTCACAAATCCCCCCCC